AAAAAGTTTTAATTTTATTTTTGATTTTTAATATATTATTCAAAAGATTTAAATCATGGTTTAATTTTTATTACTTTATCATAAATTATGAACAAATTAATTCAATGAACGATTGATTAATAAAGTAAATGATGTTTAGATATACAGTGATATTAACTTAATATAAGCTTTGATAATTAGGTTTCAAATGAACTAAAGAGTTAATTATATTTATGAGCTAGTTAGTCGTTTAACAAAATTGTGTTGGACAGTTTTAATATATCTGAGATTTGATTAAAATTTTTTATTTAAAGATCAATTGAAACACACAAAAATCTAGTATTAAATAAATTAATTGAAAAATTAATAAATAAATTTCTAATCAGTCGTGATTTGTGACCCAAAATTTTTGATTATTTATATGACTTTTGATTTTCTAAAGGAAAATAAATATAACATAACTTATAATTGGATAGACAGCAGAATATATAGATTTGATGTTAAATACAAATTGTAATCAAATTAAGTGAAAGTTCACACCAGAAGGGCAGTAGAGCTGGCATTGAACTGATCTATTGAGTTGTGCACCAAATCATCAAATTATATGATTTATAGATTATTATTAATGAATATTTATAACATTTGTATTAATATCTAGAATTTTACAAACAATTTTTCCTATGAATAAGTATCAGTAGAAATATCATTTACATGCAATTAAGCAAAAAGGCATTTTAGACAATTTAGTCTAAATAAATAAAATCTATATAATTATCTTTTAATTATTTTGATAGATGTATAATATAAGTAACAATTATGCACTTGAATACATTAATACATTCTTAGTTCAATTAAATGTCTTGGTTTAATGACTTTGAATTACATAATAATTAATTAAATTTTATTTTTCATTTTTCAAAATCCAAAAATGTGTTTATCTTGAATTTAAATATTTTTAAAGTGAACTAAAACTATAGAAACAAATTTTAATTCAACTCTTATGGCATTAAATGAGGAAAGTTAGAAAATATTTTATATAAAAGTGATTAGTAAAAATAAATTTGTTTTATTTTTATATACAAATGTGTTAAATAACACAAATAACTGAAATCCCTTTTATTGCAAATTCTTGAGAATTATATTTTTTATTTTGCTTTTGATTAAAGTTATTAAACTACAGTATATACTGTAAAACTAGTAATATTTAATCGTTAAGAATTAAAACAACAAATTTAATTTATTTTAAAAATTAGATGGCTTATACTATAATAGATGCCTTATAGCTCATTTATAAGATTAAATGATAACGTTGAAATAATTATTTATCTTATGATTGAATGCTTGCCAATTTTGTTTATATTAATGTAAATATATAATAGTTATAAAATTGTATTTAAATTCAAAATTATTTTACCAAAAAATAAGTGTTAAAATTTCAATATTAAATTATATATTAATTTTGTATAGATTTATTTATACAATGCTATAGGTTGGCAATTTTTGAATTCAATAAAATTAATTGTTTGTATGCATTAACTTTAATTGAAAACTTTTTTGTAATAAATAAATAAATTACTATACTGTACTATATCTGTAATTGAAATAAAATGTGAATTGATTGTATTTGAATGTGCCATCAATTATATAAAGTGTTCATTGAATATCTAATAATCACTTCATAATACAATAATAAAAGAAAGTTTTCAAGATTAAAGGATTATCTAATTATCGATCAGTGTGTTATTTGAGTTATAGCTGCCTCTTAAGCCTTAATAAATCATATCCAACTAATTTCTCACTTTTTATTGATAATGGTTTACTTATTATATTATAAAGTAATAATATGTTTTGATTAAAATACAAATTTTTAATATAAAATGTAAGATTACAATAAATGTAATAAATCACTTGTAAAATGCGTTGAACCCCCCATTTGTATAAAACTGACACAATTTACATAAATGTTTTACTTAATGATCAAAAAATCATTAATTTAAATGTTTAATTAATTTTTAAAATATACATTTTATTTATATTAATCAGTGTTTAGTTAATAAAATCTTTAGACACACAGACAGTTTAATTTTAAAATTATTTAAAATTTATATAAATGTTAATCTGCCATGTGATCAATGTACAGTATATAACCATATATTGCATTAAACATTCAAATCATATCAGATATTAATTAGCAATTAATAACTAAACATATATGAACCACTTTCAAATTACTCTATAACAAACTGTATGTTTGAAACCTTGGATACATACATCTAATTGACCAATATAAATGATAAAAGTAAAAGTATGTAAACGTACAGTATTATTAATAATAATTATACATACTGTAGCTATGTTTACATTTTTATGATAAATTATTTGTAATATTTAAATTTATTAGGAAACCATATATAATATATATAGACTAATAAAATAAACAAGAGAAAACTCAAATTTACATTATAAACAAAAGCAAAAATAACATATTTTGATTGTCTTAACTTTAAAGACAAATAATTTATTATATAATAATTTATCAAAAATTTGTTTATAAATTGTCATGACATAATTAATTATGCAATAAACACATTTGTTAATTTTTATTTTTACATTCATATAAACTATTAATATAAACTTATTTAACTATCTAGCCACTGTTTAGCTATCTAAATTAACTTGTTGATTTCTCAATATATTCTCCAAAACTATAGTAATCTTTAATAAAGTATAGTTTGTTTACATTAAAATTATTTATTACAAGAATGATAACATAAAAATTAAATAAAGACTTTGTTTAATGATATAAAACATCAAACAGTTTCGTGTTTGAACATTTAGACGTGTAGATCAACTCTAATATATTGTGCCTTTATTTTAATGATTTGCGATTAATTGCAATATAAATTGAATTTGAGTCAAATGGAGATCAAATTTACAGGTTTGCGTGTATTAATTACTGGGGCCGCTGGGGGTAAGCTCACTCTTAAATTCATTAGATGTCAACGTTCAATAAAATGATACAAATTAGTTTTTATTTTTGGTTTTGATTGTGTTTTAAGGAATAGGCAAAGCATTGGTACAAAAACTAATTAGTTGTGAGGCATTCGTTATAGCATTAGACTGTAGGGTCGATCAGCTCAGGCTATTAGAAGACGAAGTAAGTCTCATGTTTTCATCATTTTTACCAATTATGCAAAAATAAAAATCAATCACACAATTATTATAATTGTTTTAGTTTTATTGGTAATTGTTTAACTATGAGCGAAATGTTTAAAAATTAGTTGTAATGAAATTAATTGCTACTTAATTTTTAGTTTTTATACCATTGTATCATACATACAGTATTTCTATAGATGATATACAGTATACATTGACTAAGTTTTGATAAAACTATAAATTTTAGCGATAATATTGATTATAATTTGACATCTGATAAGAGATTAAACCACAATATTTTAAATATTTTATTTTTTCATTTAGAGAATTAATATATTGCTTTCTATGGATTTATATTTTAAAAATAAATTGTATATTTTTTAGTTTTATTTTCCATAAAAGTTTATGTAATTATAAATATTTATAAATGTCTAATTTTTAGCAAATTAGAAATTATTTTATTTGGTATTTAACAAATTCTTATGTTTTACAAAAAACTAAAATGATCAGTGTTTTTGGAAAAACTTGTCTTAAAACAATTTCAATGATAATTATTTTTTAATTAATAACACGTAGTTAAGTAATAAAAAATATTTTTAATTTTTTAAAAAACATAAAATAAGTTCATTTTATATAAAATTTGTTTTCTCTATATTGAAAGCCAGTAAATAATATTAAGATAACAAATTACACGAATGCTAGAGTTTATGCGTTAAACACACATTAATTTATTACACTAAAGTATCAAATGTTAAAAAATAAAACAAAACTCTAGTTTAAGGGCAATATTGAGACAATTTGTGTCGACCTCAACGACTGGAACGGCGTTCAATCGGCACTCAATAGTGTCGATCGGATAGATCTGGTGGTAAACAATGCCGGTATTTGTCTCTTAGAGTCCGTCGGATGCATTAGTGAGGAATCAGTGGACAGACAGTTAGCGTTGAATACAAAAGCGCTGATAAATGTGTCGCAAACAGTGGCCCAACAGTGGATTGAAAGCGCGAGAAAGGGTGCAATCGTTAACATCTCGAGTCAGTCCAGTATGAGAGCCCTGAGAGACCATTTGGTGTACTGCGCGACCAAAGGAGCTGTCGATCAGATCACTCGAGTCCTGGCCCTCGAGTTGGCCGCCCATCGGATTCGAGTCAATGCTGTCCAGCCGACGGTCGTGTGGACTGACTTGGGTTAGGATTTAACTCATTTTTCATGATCATGTCGTGTGTTTACCATTAAATGAGTTGAAAAAGTTAGACTTTTGTTTTCAAATCAGTAAATGGTTTCAATGTTTTTTGTTTTTAAGTCAGCATTTAGTAGTTTCTGCCCAAAGGAATGATTATCTTAAATAACTTATACAGTAGAGCGTAAACTTAACTGTATTTGTTGTCCAGCTATTAATCAATTATTTACTAGTACAGTATTTATATAAGTATCTTATTAAAATAATAAGTTTCAAATAATTGAGCTTTATAAATGTGCAAACTTTTCATACCATAATTTATAGGTTTAAGAAATAATGAATTTAATATGTTATTAGTATTCAACACAATTGTTAAGCAATGAATGAATTGTGAATTAATTAGAATTTCAAATATATTATAAAAATACTATTGTCAATAACCATGTATCAATATTATTTAATTTAATTGGTTTTACAAGTTTATAAGACTTTATATTTTGAATTGTAAATATTTACATTTATTTCCACATAATTTATTCTAATTACTTCTAAAACTTAATATAGTTGTTTAATTTATAATAATATTTGTCATTAGACTTGACATAAGTCTCATAAGAATCTGAAAAATGTGTCCAATTTTATCATTATTAGCGATAGCTTTAGGCTTATAAATGTTGACGGCTTTCCTTTATGTCAAGCAATAATTGCCATTACTTTCATGCAAACAAAAAAGTATTTAAAAATAAAATTTAGTTTTTCAAATAAATATAAAAGAGTGCAAAATGTGATCAAATTATAAGATCAGTAAAAGTTTTACAGTTTATGTTTGGCTAAGTTTTGGGTCATATTTACAAAAACCACTTTTGTTTGGATTTATCATTGATTCACGAAAACTAAGTTTTAGTTTTATGACTAAATTCTCCGGTTTTTTATTTCATTTATTTAGATATCTATTAAAAAGACTAATTTTGTGACAAAATAATAAATATTCAAAATTATGAGGAAAGTACATTTGAAAACATTGAAAATATTGTATTCATAAAATTATATTGAGGTTAATTTAAATACAATCGTAAAATAAGATTTATCCAAAATGCTTTTTTAGTTTGTAATCGCACTTTCTTAAACATATGAATAAATTGTCACAACTTTACTAAAAATTTCTGATTTCTTAAATCATGATCAATAGGTTTGCCAAACATTACTATAGGCACAAATTTATTGAAATCATTTATATATTTTTGACAATAAATATTATCGTATGACATACATGTTAACAATTTGAAGCACAAGTGAATTTAAGATTACTGTTCCCTATATATATAAATACCACACTGTTAGATCATCTAATAATTATATAATTTAGTTTAGATGACAATGATACTGTATCTTCACTACTAATATTTTCCAAACACGTATTTTTATATTATTATTATTTGTATTAAAAATTAAAGAGTCATATTCTTATCAATAAACTGATCTACAATATATTTAATAATATAAATGATTTATCACATTTGAATTTATTCACATTTCATATAAGGTTGTATTCAAAACTAGTTAGGTTTATGACCAAGTAGGTTTAATCGTAGTTTTGATGTCTCTCACACTACTGATCCATATTTTAGATTATCGTATGATTTATTAAAATAAACTAATTCTCTGTAAACCACAGCAAAGATAGTATGGGCCGATCCGGTGGTGTCGGGTGCCATGAAGTCACGAATACCAATGGGAAGGTTCGCAGAGCCAGAAGAAGTGGCCGACGCCGTGGCCTTCCTATTGAGCGATAGGGCGGCGATGATCACCGGCGCCACACTTCCCGTCGACGGAGGCTTTCTCTGCACTTAATATTTAACTCACATTTCTGTTATAAACCCATATTTTAAATACGATTTTATTATTATAAATAAAAATACAAGTTTTAATTGAATTTTAATTACCCCAAAGAAATAAAGCAATCTTATCAAGCACTTTTTACATAAAAAACATACAATGAATGAACTTAAAATTATGATACATTCGTTAGTTCAATGAATACAAAATTTGATTATCATTATTACAGTATTATTATTATTATTTGGATACAGAATATTACAAAATATTAAAGATTATAAGAGGAAAGGGAGTCATTCCCAACGGGAGAGTATGTCAAACATACTGACCAGAAAGTAATCGGTTGTAATCTCTGCGGTAATTCTTCGCACTTTTCGCGGAACTAAAACGTGATCTCCTTTTTTGACCAACAATTCAACGAGTCTTTCCTTTTCACTCATATATGGGGGACCGGTAGCGATGACCAGACATACGTCCGATTCCTCAATCAAAGCACATCTGTCTATAACTTTACACAAAACGATATCTCTATTGGGTTTCATGTGTGCAATCAGTAGTTTCTCGAGCACTTGGTTTGACATAAAAGCTTGCGGTGACATAAAAGCCATGTTTTACACAATAACTATAACTTGTATTAAGAAGTACTCAATCCTATGATTTGAGTATTATATGACTTTTGATTTTCTAAAGGAAAATAAATATAACATAACTTATAATTGGATAGACAGCAGAATATATAGATTTGATGTTAAATACAAATTGTAATCAAATTAAGTGAAAGTTCACACCAGATCATCAAATTATATGATTTATAGATTATTATTAATGAATATTTATAACATTTGTATTGATATCTAGAATTTTACAAAGAATTTTTCCTATGAATAAGTATCAGTAGAAATATAATTTACATGCAATTAAACAAAATGGCATTTTAGACAATTTAGTCTAAATAAATAAAATCTATATAATTATCTTATAATTATTTTCATAGATGTATAATATAAGTAACAATTATGCACTTGAATACATGAATACATGCTTAGTTCAATTAAATGTCTTGGTTTAATGACTTTGAATTACATAATAATTAATGAAATTTTATTTATCGTTTTTCAAAATCCAAAAATGTGTTTATCTTGAATTGAAATATTTTTAAAGTGAACTAAAACTATAGAAACAAATTTGAATTCAACTCTTATGGCATTAAATGAGGAAAGTTAGAAAATATTTTATATAAAAGTGATTAGTAAAAATAAATTTGTTTTATTTTTATATACAAATGTGTTAAATAACACAAATAACTGAAATCCCT